CAACAGCTGACGGTATCGTGGTTAGGACTGTACCAATATAGTAAGAATGTATAATTATATACAGTATGTCTTCGTAATAAAGATGCATACTATCTGTATGTAGAAAAAAAAAAGCATCTGAATGTCATCTTGTACATTTTTGGTAGTAAAACGCACAATTAAATGATTGATGGAAATCATTTTGACATTTCTATTAGCCATACATAGTTAAATGTTGCAAAATCTGATCCCATGAGTAGAATAACATATAGTTAGACTTTAGGCTTACATTTGTATCTTAATTGGAACAAAAAATATGGAATATTACAGATTTTGGCGGCAGCCGTCTTGAAATTCAAGAGTTTAATACAAAGTTTAGTATGGTACCCGTTTTGAATGTACTTTCTTTATATCACAAATGCAAGAAATTTCTGCTAGGAGACACAGTTGACAAATTCCAAACGTCTCGAAACACTTGATTTGTCAAAGTGAGACTTGGTTTGTATTTTTTTTTGTTGTTGTTCTAGCAGAATACTTTTATACACTCACACTAATGAGTATTTTCACACTTACGTATTTAAAATTGCACATTATTTTAGCTTATAGTCAGTTATATTTCAACAAATAAGACTATTCTGTAATATATGTTGCCTATTTTGCTTCAATAATTCGTGTAATAACACGTGACTTTGATTTCCTGCTTTTTCATTTTAAATCGTGTTTATGTTGTTGAACATTTTTGCTTATAACAATTATTAATTTCTTTCTTGTGTCTCACAAGTAGGTTTACCTTTCTTTTTTGAACAAATAGAAGAAAAATCACCGTGGTTAGTCACTATAAAAATTAATTGTTTGGAATTATGTATACTTATCCAAGTGTTTAATAAATGTTCACATGTTTAAACATAAAAGCTTCACATGTTTAAACATAAAAGCTTCATATGTTTAGTTTAGTTTCCATGCTTTCTTTTGTTCAAACATTTACATGTCAAGTGTTTAACTTGTTTCTTTACTTACCTATGCGTTAAAAAACAAACCAAACGAAAACAATAACTTCAATATTCTGTTTTATACACTTTTTCTATGCTTTCTTTCTGCCTTAGATATTTTTTCTGTATAATGGCTGATGTACGATTCGTTTTATTTTAAATGTTAACAAAAAGTTTGTATCTCTTTTTTTATGATGGCACTATTACTTTCTTTGGCCCGGCATGGCCAGGTGGTTAGGGCGCTCGACTCGCAATTTGAGGGTCGCGGATTCGAATCCCGTCACACCGAATATGCTCGCCCCTTTCAGCCGTGGTGGCGTTATAATGTGATGGTCAATCCCATTACTCGTTGGTAATAAAAGTAGCCCAAGAGTTGGCGGTGGGTGGTGATGACTAGCTGCCTTCCCTCTAGTCTTTCACTGATAAATTAAGGACAGCAAGCGCAGATAGCCCTCATGTAGCTTTGCGCGAAATTCAAACCAAATTTTTTTAAAACTTATTTTCTCATGAGATGGAAAATTTTAGCTAATACATGTCCATTTTTTTGGGGAGAGGGGAAATGGAATATCAAAAAAAGCAAAAAAAAAAAGAAACAAAATCCAGCTACTATTCAGAAACTAATATTACATACACATGTGAAAATGACCCTTCTTATCTACGGGATTTTATAACAACAAACAAAAAATCTTGAAATAGTAGAAACACGTGTATTTTGTTGCTTTCATAAAATTTGCAATAATGGCACTGGCACAGGAAGCGGGGGTTCGGGATCCCCACTTTTCATTCTGTTCCAGTGAAAAGGCACAAAATTAGGAAAACTACTCTCAGGAAAAGCAGGAGAATGCATAACATTTAACCCAGAACCCCAAAACTTCTAGGGCCCTAGGTCTAAGCGGCCCAAGACCCCGGCCATAATGGGTGCGCCTATGGTACAGAATCCTTCGCTTCGCTCGGGCACCCCCACTTTTAATTTGCCTCCTACAACTCTATGCAGTTAATCTTTGTTATAACCTAAAATAATGAACATGTTAACCGCTCTGCCCCTTTTGGTCTTCGCTCATATTGTATTGATTCAGTACGGTACCCACTTTCTGGTCTTCGCTCATGTTGTATTGATTCAGTACGGTACCCACTTTCTGGTCTTCGCTCATGTTGTATTGATTCAGTACGGTACTCACTTTCTGGTCTTCACTCATGTTGTATTGTGCTCGATATTGACTCAGTACGGTACTCACTTTCTGGTCTTCGCTCATGTTGTATTGTGCTCGATAATGATTCAGTACGGTACCCACTTTCGTCTTTGAAATATATTAAATTGTTTTGTTCTCTTGTTTTGTATAACGTATATACAACGTCACATATCGTATATACAACGTCACATAACGTATATACAACGTCACATAACTTTCAATCATAACACTTTGAAATAGAAATACCATCTAACTTTAATTACAATCAACATAAAGAAAACTTAATATTTTATATATTTGCAACTCCAATTTTAAGTAGTAACACAATGCATAATTAAACATTTTCAGTATTTCTTTATAAGTCAATCTTTATTTAGTGTGTAGTCTGAGGCCTAGTGATCAGGTGCGTGTGAAAGGTCTGGTGTTAATTTCCCGTTGGCAACAAATGTTTGTTTGTGTTGAACAAACTTGGATTAATAAATGTCGATACCTTATAGACGGCAGTGAATACCACAGAAAGGTATACTTAATCGACTGTTCAAACCAAAAACGCTATTCTTTTTTTTTACTTCCCTTTAAAAATTAATGATTAGCCAGGGATGGTCCAGTAATTTTGGATTCGCATCCTAAACATCGGTGGGAAAAGATTAAACATGGGGATACGTTGACTCTAGATGTCACGTGCTTTGAAAAATGGTATTGTGAAGTGTTTAGTAATATGATTAGTTTTGATAACACTTGAACTTTTATTTACATATTTACTGTACTTTTCATTTTGCACCACCCAATACCAATCGTTCTCGATATCGCGTGCTCGTTCGTTGCCATAGCTACTCACCTACTACGTACCACGTAACCATATCATAACAAACTACCTTACGAAGAGAAGGATGGCTAATTTTTCGGAGAAATAAAATCCATAAATAGTAAACCTACACGAGTTATGTCTTAATCTTACATACAAATTAATAACAAGGTGTAGCTACGCAACAATGTTTTGTGGAATTGAAGTTGCATATTATTTTCAATTGGTGTTTGTTTACGAATCAGTGAAGGTAAAGCGTTTACGATCAAAATAAAAACCTGATAAAACAGAAGGTGAAATTAACATTTGTAATAAACGAACATCTGTATATTTGGCAAGAAATGCCTCCTGGTGGATTAGCGATAAGTTTCTAGGTTCGTAATGCTAAAAATAGAATTTCAGTACCGCTGTGGGCATAGCACAAATGGTTGGATTATTGCGTAATTTTGCACATAACAACAAAGAAGCGAACAGGGAAGAGTAAGCGCAGTGTAATCCATAAACGAAGTAATCCATTAACGATTTTATTAAATAGTTGATAAATATTCTGGTATACATTTTCTCTAACCATTAGGTGCGATACGATATAAACTGGAAATCTATTAGGATGATAGATATTTGTGGGTAAAACGTTTCATACCATAGGTGCGATATGATAAACTGGAAATCTGTTAGGATGATAGCTATTTGTGTGTAAAACGTTTCATACCATAGGTGCGATATGATAAACTGGAAATCTATTAGGATGATAGCTATTTGTGGGTAAAACGTTTCATACCAAAATGTGAATATTAAAACTAGAAACAGCACTACAAAATGCGATATTCTGAAAATACAATCTTAATGCAAACGGGAATATCCTATCAGTGAGGTAAGACATACCATATATACAGATTAAATTGATGCATTGGAAATAATAATAATAATAATAAACATTGGAATTATACATTACAAACGATCACAAAAAATATATATTGCAAATAATTTGTTTGTTTGTTTTGAATTTCGCGCAAAGCTACACAAGCTATCTGCGCTAGCCGTCCCTAATTTAGCATTGTAAGACTAGAGAGAAGGCAGCTAGACATCACCACCCACCGCCAACTATTTGGCTACTCTTTTACCAACGAATAGTGGATTTGACCGTCATTTATAACGCCCCCCACGAGCATGAAAGGGCGAGCATATTTGGTGTGAGGGAACTCGAACCCGCAACCCTCAAATTGCGAGTCGAGCGCCCCTAACTACCCGGCGCAAATAATGGTTATAATGATAGAGATAACATAACTACTTAAATAATAGTAAAGATAGAAGTATTTTAGAATGAGAAAAACCCAGTAAGTTTTAATGATAAAATTAGATTAAATTAAGGTATGTAGTTTATGTTAACGGGGAATAAAGTAATAAGGTCGGGCGATAACTGTGGGGCTCGATTTGTTTGTTAATTATTAAGCACAAAGCTACATAATGGGTTATGTGTGCTGTGCCTACCAAGGGTATCGAAACCTGGTTCTTAGCGTTATAAGACTTCCCACTGCTGAGCCACCTCGGGGGGGGGGGGAGTGTCTCAAAGGTTGGGTTTTGTTTCGAAAGTGATTGTGATAAAGTTCAAAGCAGTTTTAGGGAGTTTGTTTGTTTGTAATTAAGCAGAAAGCTGCACAATGGGCTATTTGTGCTCTACACACCACGGGTATCAAAACCCGGATTCTAGCGTTGTAAGTCCACAGACATACCACCGTGCCACGTGGGGGGGGGGAGTTTTAGGGAGGAATATTATAACTAATACAACCTTCATATAAGGTATCTGGAGACAAAAATCATAAACTGATATTGAATATCGATGCTACAGATAAATGGATGCAGTCGGTAACTTTCAAAAACTTGCATTAATAAGAAACATTCGATGCGTTAGGTGCGGTTAACTCTTGTCACTAAAATGTTTTGACGATAAATTTAAAAACATGTTTTATAAGCCTACCTCGAGGTTTCAATTTTTGTCATAACACAACTTTTTATTTCAGAAATTCAACAGCTACCTACCTTACATTCATTTTTGAGTAGCACTTGGGAAAAAGCTTTGCCCAGACCGCTGGCACCCCCTGTAACGATGGCAACTTTTCCGGTAAGTTCCATAGTTGTCGACTGGTTACAAGCTGCACACAAAACTCTCAACTTTTCCAACCTTCCACTACAGAGGTTCGTCTGCGTTGAACGTGAGCCAGGAATCCTACTACCAGGCTCACCTGTATATGCGTTCCTAAAGAACCGCAAGGAGCATACTAGCGTGACGTCATCGACAATAATACTGTCGAATATCTACGGAGTAGTTCAGGAAATCGTGTATGTATTGGGGTCGAGGTTACTGCGCAGTTGCAACTACCAAAAAAAAATAAATAAATAAAAAAATCTAGGGACTTTTAAAAGTATAGGAAGATCAATTTGAAGCTTAAGAGCGTATGTGTATCTGGTTAATGTCATCTTAGTGGGCCTGTGGGAATTACGCTGAAGTCTTTATCCAGTTTACTATTACATTTTTTTTTGTCACCCCAGCGGTTCAGCGGTAAATCTCTTGGACTCATAACGCTAAATGCCGGGTTTCGATACCCGCGGTGGGTTGAACAAAGATAGCCTAGTGGGTAGCTTTGTGTTTTACCTTAAAACAACAATAAAACAATTGTTATTGTTATTTAAAAATGACAAATAAACTGGTGTAATTTTCAGACGTGTTAAAATGTTATAGATAGTTAAAATGTTATAACCCAATTACATTATGCACAAGACTAGTCGAATTAAGTGTACAGATTTATTGTGGTAATAATTCAATAACTATTTATTGGATAGATAGAGCATGCCACCAGGGGCGCTATTACTAAAGATTAATGTATTAAATTGCATCAGATGTGTAACTTACAAATGTCGTAATGGAAACCAAAAAAGGGTATTCCATGAAAATATTTTAGTTTTTATGAAGCCGCCCTTGGATATATGAAGCTCCCCAGAGGCACAGCGGTATGTCTGAGTACTTATACCGCTATAAACCGGGTTTCGATACCCGTGGTGGGCAGAGCACAGATAGCCCATTGTGTAGCTTTGTGCTTAACAACAAATAAACAAATAAATAATCGACAACGAATATATATTGAAAAATTGTGGTTTATATTTTTATTCTTTCAACGTTTTTGTTCGCTAGAAGAAGTTTTTTTTAATGAGTAATAACTGGTGAATTCTAGAAATTTCATGAAAATTTAGACCATTGTAGAAAACTAGTACACTATAAAAATGTCAAACTGAATGAATGAATTAGTTAATCAGTTCAATGTCTGTTAAGTGAGTTACACAGTGAATTAGTTAATCAGTTCAATGTCTATTAGTGAGTTAAACAGTGAATTAGCTAATCAGTTCAATATCTATTAATGAGTTAAACAGTGTATTAGTTAATCAGTTCAATGTCTGTTAGTGAGTTACACAGTGAATTAGTTAATCAGTTCAGTGTCTATTAGTGAGTTAAACAGTGAATTAGCTAATCAGTTCAATGTCTGTTAGTGAGTTAAATACGTGAGGATACGTTAAAACAATAGTTTCAAACTAGTAATCCTCTGACGGACTGTGGCGGACATATCAGGTCGTCACCAACGATTTAAATGTTATTTTGCGTGAAGCACTAAGTAAAAGCTATAAACCCAGATGATAAATTACAATAAAATAAAAATTAGGGTACCCGATAGCACGGTTTTTCAACTCTAGTAAAGGGCCATATATATAGCTGATGGTGGGTTAGTTTAGGATAGTCAGGGAAGTGCTAGCTCGCGGCGGCTCATAAAGTGCTCGTCTCACCAATTGAGAATCGCTGTTTTATGGTATTTATTAACACAATACATTGTACCAGAAAAACCACGTGGATATACACGTCGCCGTCTTTTTTTTTGATAATATAATATGTTATGGATGATAACTGATGTATTCCTCAAGGATTGATTTATATTCTCAGTTAATTCTATGCTATTTATTTATAAAAGTATTTTTGCTTATTTGTTTGAAGTTAAGCTCGAAGCTATACAATAGGCTATATGTGCTCTGCCCACCACGGGTATCGAAACCCGGTTTCTAGCGTTGTAAGTCCGGAGACATACCGCTGTGCCACTGGGCAGGAGGCTGTTTTTTTTTGCACTATGTAGTGCTTTAAAATTTTGATTGATTATACGTTTTTCTTATATATACGTCTGGTGCACATGCTTCAGTTATTTACTGTGTACAACAAATAAGCTATTTTCTGTTCAACACGATGGAAACGAACACATTAGCTAAGTACATGTGTAATGCCATCAAATGTTACTTCACCTCATTCTTTATCAACTACAGACGGAATAAAATCATATCGTCAAACGATACATCAGTATTATTATCATCATTCAAAACATTTGTTATTGTATTATCATCTGCATAACGTGAGCCAGCAATACCTTATCTCTTACTGTCACTCTTATAACGCATCCACAACTTAAGGGGCCAGGTGGTTAGGGCGCTCGACTCACAAGCTGCGGTTCCATCCCCGTCCCACCAAAGATGCTCGCCCTTTCAGCCGTGGGGGGCGTTATAATGTGTCGGTCGATTCCACTATTCGGTGGTAAAAGTGTAACTCAAGAGTTGACGGTGGGTGGTGATGACTAACTGCCTTCTCTTCTAGTCTATCACTTCTAAATTAAGAGAGGTCAGCACAGATAGACAGACCTCTTGTAGATTTCCGCGAAATTCAACAAACAAACAAAGCCAATGTAGGGGGAGCCTATAGCAACCCTGCTTTTGAAATTGCTACTGCAGTCGAATCTAACAGTTTTTTATATATAAGAAAATATTTAATTCTGTCATCTTTCCAAATGTCAATTCCTGGAAATTTTACGAATAAAAACAACAAAAAACATTGTGTATTAAATGGCCAATCCGCAGGTGCGGCCGATCTATCGGTTGAAGCCCGTCCTTCCGCGCAATATTATCATACCTTCTTATCCAATAAAAATCTATTACACACGAATGGCAACAAAATATTAAATAGATTTCTGACCACTAGATGGCAGGTACTTTATACAATTATATACTTCTGTAAAAATCAATGCTTATCTTCAATTTTGTAAGCAAAAGAAATAAACAAATAAAATATGTCGAAATATCAGGTAATCGTAAATACCCTGGAGGAACTTACACATTTTGATAAAAAGTTTAGAAAAAACGACCTTTACACTCTATATACATATAAAATATATATTATTTAATTTTAACCAACGTTTCGCCTTTGTGGCTTCCTCAGGGCAAATTAATATACACGAATGTTTGATATTAGGTTAAAATAGAAATATATATATATATGGAGTGCAAAGGTAATTTTTTCTCAACTTTTCATCAAAATGTGTAAATACCCGAATGTTTAACTGTCCAGGGCACCCTTTTTAGAGACTGGAGATATTAAGTCAATTCTAGGAGGCCTTATGGACATCAGTAGGGTTGGTAATCTTAGAAAAGGTCCACCCATTTCCAAGTGATAATGAATACTTTTGCAAAGTCTAAGTAAACATATTTTGAAGTTTGGCAAGTTTCTTAGGTAATCAAGATTTCTGTGTAAGTTAATACGCATCACTTGTTTAACCTACGCATGACAAACATCTATGATTATGTCACAATGAAGAATCTTTGAATATTTTCCATGAAGTTTTGTCACTTATGAAAGGCCGAATTATCAAAAATTTCACTTCAATATTACCATCTGGATCAACATACCAAAGCGAGGTATAATCTTCATATCATTGTCCCCCGGTGGGACAACGGTAAGCCTACGAAGTTGCAACGCTAAAATCCAGATAGTCCAATGTGGCTTTGTTATACAATAAAACACACACGCCTCTGACTTTCCGTTATCAAACTTTAAACTCAGTACATAGAGTCACAATTTAAATATACGTTTCTAAAAACTACATCATTTTTTCGAACCTCTTATAGTATAAAATTTTAAAAGTTTAACAAAGTTTTGAACGTGATACATTGGACTTGACATTTATTATCCTTATACGTTGGAATGGATTTCAAACAATTCTTTTAAGTTTTGTGAATTGCATAGTATAGAAAAACTAGCTGAGTTACTCGGCGTTGCACGGTGAAAATTTAGATGTATAGATCAGTATTTTTTCAGCAAATTATTCAGTAAGTGGACAAAAGCTGTGATGCGAGAAATAAAAAAGTATTTAATCAAACAAAGCTTTATTTGAATTTAGATCGTGTTTGAGCTTATGTTGTTCTTTGAGTCTGAAGTCGTACATCATGTTGCTCCTCTGTTTCTTGCTCTCCGTAAGTTATTTGTCTTATTTTTTGTGCTTGAAGTCTGGTTTGACGTTGTTCAGAAGTTTTTTGTTGTCTACATCCAGCTTGCCTTGATGATTCTGACTGAATTCTGGCTTTGTGCTGTTCAACAGTTTCTTGCTGTCTTTGAGTAGCCTGCCTTTCAGCTTGAGCTCGAAGTCTAACTTTACATTGTTCCAAAGTCTCTTCCTGTATTTGAGCAGCCTGTCTTGCTGTTTGTGCTTGAAGTCTTTGATTGCGTTCTTCTTCTGTTTCATCTGCTCTTTGTGCTTGCATTCTTTTAGCGGCAGAAGACTTTCTATAGAAAGGGCGTTTCATGGGTGACATAATCACCTATGTCACTAAACAATAATTTGCAATTCACAAAGTTACTAAATCACTTATGAAACCACTTAGCATTATTTAAAGAAAACTGTTTTTGGAAATACGGAATTGACAGCAAGGTGATCTAAGTTTCTCCCGCCATAACGCTTTCTATGTGCAACATGTGCTTATGTTTGTATGTTCATTACAAAAAAATGGCGCAATAATCATTCTTCAAGATCTTGTTTTTGTCATCTTACGCCTTTTAATGAAGATGGGAACATTGACAGGGAATAATATTATAGAATATGCTCGGCGAGAGGTTTTCGTTTATAAAATTTTGTTGTTGTTCTCGACTTGATTTTTATTTTATTACCTCGTCTCCATAGTTACTATTTGCAAATAGTCAATAATATTGTAGGTCCATTTTATTGCTGTTCTTTCTACGAGCCGTTATAACACACTTTCATCTCATCATTTAATCTCTGTTGTGCATATATTGTTGTATGTTTATTACAAAAAAATGGCACAATAATCATTAATTGTTAATTTCGTCATTAAATACTACACCAAATACAATATAAATAGCACCATTATATCTTGTAAAAAACTATAAAATAAGATTGATACTAAAAATCAATATTTGACAGCATG